GGGGGGCGGTTGGGAAGAGATTACTCAAGAAAAGAAGAAATAAAGAAAGAACAGGTAAGGAAACTTTTAGCTTACCGGACCACCAGCGGGAGCAGGCGAGCCTGAGTAAGCCTGATACTGCTGACCCTGTTGCTGCTGAGGAATTTGCTGTGGTTGCTAGGAAAAGACTGCGTCAGCTTTGGGGGAGGAAAGATGAGTTTACCAGAGTCCAGAAGATGTGCAAACTGAATCAATGATGATAGTGACGATGAATGAATCATGGATGCGTGAGGGGCGACGGGATTAGATTAGTCACTTGCGTAGGGCGGACTCACATATCCACCGGGTGCTCCTCCAGGCTGCAGCGAGCTTGGAGGTCCTCCAGTGTAGCCAGTGGGTGGTGCTCCTCCATACACACCTCCACCACCACCACCACCACCACCACCAGGCTTGTTGGTGTTCCCGTCGGCTGGGCGGTTCATACCGTTGGCGATCTTCGACGCAAACTAGAGAGGAAGGAAGCAAGTGCAGAGTGCAGTGGTTAGTTCGAGTTCATGTACCGTACACCACGAAAGCAGAAGCAGGTTGACGTGTTCGAAAGCTGATGCAGATGATTGCAGGCCGAGCTTTGGGATGAGCGGGGCAGCAACGCGGGGCAGTCGAACAACAAAAATATCGAGAAATGGAAGGGCGGGTGGGACAAATAACTTGGACTCGAACTTACCCCCATAATGAATTGATGGGTTACTCCGATATTAATATCTGACTTTGGTTCTGGGGTCCGGAGAAGGAAGTGGTGGTGATGAGAGGAAGAAGGGAAAGGTTGTTGACCCTACAGCTGGCTGTTTGATATAATCCGATGATGTCGTCAGAGGGGCAACAGCGGAAGAGGAGTAAGGTAAGGTAAGTCAACTTGGAGGGGAAAGGGGGGAAAAAAGGAGAGAGTGTTCCGGGCTCCAAATGTTCACAGCCACATCTCAGATCGAATGAGAAGCCGCTGAATCAACACTAAGGCTGCATCAAGCCTTAAACGGGGCTTAGTCGCTTCGTGTCGAATTGAGATGACGACCGACTGAGCTGATTCCACTTCTGACTCTCTACTACTCAGATGTACTGTACCTACAGTCAACAAAACTCAGCCTCATTCAAAGTCTATTAGATTGCCCTCACTGGATTGCGCAACTAGTCATTGGTGCCTATAGAATTGATCTTCAGCTTGCAGAAGGTTATCGTGCCCGTCATGGCATAAGGCGGTGCTGCGTCCAGAATATTCTACTCCTCTTACAGATCATGTTTAGTGTGTGTACTGGGACCACCATATACATGGTCCAAGCATAATAGCTGGCACATGACCTGCCAGTAACGAAAATGCCAGTGATCACAATCTCATCCCACACAGACTGCAAAATTATCGAATCAAGCAAGTGTAGGATGGTAGTACCAGCTGACTGAGATGTCCCGGGAGTTTGCTTGTCAACCTTCTATTACTCGTGTGTCATGCAGACAGGCTGCATGTAGGTGGGATGTTTGATTATCTGATGTCTTTTTTTGTAGGCAATTTCGGCCCCACCCGATCGACCTGCAGTCCTACCGTAGTCCATATCGATCTATAGCAAGCATGATGGATCATGCCTCTAATCGTCTCGATCTCATTACGCTATCGAATAGAGCTAGGGAAAAAGTCAAAGGATACATCGAGAACTATTTTTCAGCAGAGAATTTCAAGCACGATTAGAAAAATATTAGAAAACAAGTGCCACTGATGTCATGGAATATCCTGACCCAACAAAAGCCAGTGGAAGAAAGACAGAGCTCCATGATCCTGCATCTTGCTTCTGATATCACCATCACAGCCTTTTCTTTTTCTCTCACGAGCCTGAGAAGATTTATCATAACACAAGGCAGGACTCGAGCCAAGCTGGACAAGTTCCAAGTTTCGCAGGTGTTGTTTCCTTAACACGCTCGATTCTGAATTCGTGTTTGTTGCCGGATTTGTAGAGGGTTAACACATTAACACTGCAACAAGCAGGTAGTTTCCTATCCCGAGTCCATCCCTTGCATCCAGCATTCCTTACCTGAAGCCAGTGCTCCAACACGTTCAGAACTTTGTCTTTCTCTTCACCTCAGAAAATGCGCCTTTCCTCTTCTCCTTCTCTTTCTCCTCCTCCTGATCTCCAGAGTCTCGCTCTGTCTACTCTTCGTGCCGGCTGATTAAGTTATTGAATTTACCTGCGTAAGTCAAGGTCCGCAGGTCCTATCTACATGAGCCTAACACATGCACATCCAGCGCATCTCAACCCGATACAGAGGAACCCGAAAGCACATATCTGAACAAGAGAAGCACGATGACACAGAAGGTCCTCCAAGTCGGGATCCTCACCGGAGACGAAGGCGCCCAAGCCATTCAAGGAATCTACCTTCCTATCCTTACCGCTCTTACCAACACATACCAAGTAGCTGCCATCTACAATCCTCCAAAAGATACCAAGCAGACGATAAACAGCACCAGGAAGACTTGCACCAACGGCCATTACACCAACGGTCACACCAACGGTCACACCAACGGTCACACTAACGGCCATATCAACGGCCATCACGCAACTGGCATGACTACAGCCGATGGCCATGAGAACCGAATCAAAAACATCGCTCGTGCATCGTCCGCCGAAGAGATCATCTCCGACCCATCTATCCAGCTGATCCTCAACTTCATGCCCAATGAGTACCACGAGATCTACACAGTAGCAGCTCTGGATGCTGGCAAGCACGTCATGGTCGAAACACCCGTGAGCCTGAGCATCCAAAGTGCACGGCGCATTATCGAAGCGGAGAAGCGCGCCCCCAATGGTGCTAAAGTGTTTGTGGCATGTGCGCGACGCTATGCCCCTTGTATCGAGGAGGTCTTCAGGAAGGAGGTTGCCTCCCTGGATCGCATCTATTACGCTCGCTGTCGAAACATCGCGGGCCCTAGCTTGGCGCACACGGCTACCGCACCGCGGAAGAAGCTCTGGACAGCCCTGATTGGTGCAGCAGCATATGGATTCGCATCGGAGGAGATTAGGAAGCAGGATAGTGGCCCGCAGCTCATGCACGGTTTGCTGCAGGAGATGTTCTTGGGACAGGAACTGACCAAAGAACGGATCGCGCTCTGCGAGTTTCTTGCCTCTCTGGGCTGTCATGATTTGGGCTTGATGCGCGACTCGCTTGGATTTCCTGATGCCATCTCGAACATCTCTGTGAACGAGCCATACTACTCGGCCTTGTTCCATTATTACAGTGGGCAGAAGGGCGAGCACCCATTCACCCTGATGTACGAGACGGGTACCGATGCCGTGCCGCGTTGTGATGCACACCTTGCAATCTATGGTGACACAAAGACTGTCAGTATTCAGTATGGTCTGCCGTACGCTCGTGGTGTGCCTGTGAAGGTCGTGGTGGAGACGGCGGATGAGAATGGGGAGATGAAGAGGACAGAGAGTGTGAGTGGGTGGCAGGAGACCTATGAGGCAGAACTCAAGGTGCTGCACGCCTATCTCACCGAAGATAAGATGGCCAAGACGTCCGCCCGCGATGGGCTTCAGGATCTGAAGCTGTTTTACCAAATCTTCGAGCAGTACGATCGGCAGTGTGGCACCATTCGGACTCCTCTGGGCTAGGCAATGGAAATTGGCAACACGCGCGGTTATGCTCAGGGTGGGATACTGTTTTAGCAAGAAAGTCTCACATGTAAGAACTAATATGCATACTTTGAATATTGCTATTTGTTTCGAAGACGAAAGGGGGAGTTGCATCAGAACAGCAGATTGACCGAATTTCTATTTACATGCTTCCAGGGTGTCTAAAAAGACCTCTCTTCTTTTTCTCTGTCAGCCAATGCAAGACATGTCTCATGAATAGAAGTTAAAAAAAACATGAGGAATTGCCGTTCCGCATCACTACCGCTTGCCCTTCTTCTTCTTCTTGTTGGCGCCACCACCGCTCTGAGGCTTAGGCTGGTTGGTGACCGCAGTCGACTCCTCAGCCTTGTCGTTCACAACACCGCCCTGTGTCCGCTCCGCAGCGCGCTGCTTGCCCTTGCGACCCTTAGGCCGGTAGTTCGAGCGATCGCGCAGAGGCAGCCAGCGCTCCGGGTCGGGGGTCTTACCCGGATCGTAATCCTTGGGCAGCCTCGACTTCCGGACCCGCTTCTTCGCCGCACCGCCGTCTTCCTTAAGGTTGGCAGTGGCTGACCGCTTGCGAGCGCCCGCAATCGCAGCCGCAGCCGCGGCGTTCGCGCCCGAGGAAGGCGCGATACCCGCTTGTTCGAGGCCAGCCAGGTCCACCTCGGCGATCAGGTCCGCAACGGACGGGAGCTTGTCGACCAGGGATTCGACCTTGGCGTAGTCGATGGGGGCCTGCGCGGCGACGTAGCCGGCCACGGCGAAGTTGTCGGCGGTGTTGGACTGGTAGAGAGACTTGAACAGGTCGCCGGCCTTGGTAAGGTCGGAGGTGTCGGTGGAGTGCAACAGGGAGGCGGCGGCCGCGCGGAGGAGGGGAGCGGGCGGCGGTTGGTTGGCGCCTTCCCGCTGCTGCTGCTGCCAGTAGGCGGCGGCCTTGGCCAGTTCAGAGCGGATCTGGACCTTGCGGCCCTCGAGCTTGTAGAGGGAGAGAAGCACGCTCAGAACACCCGGGTTGAATCGAACTTCCTTATCTTGCTCGGAGATGGACTCGTCTAGGAGTTGAAGGGTGGCCTCGAGAGTGGTGATCGCGGAGGTGGTGTTGCCCACGCCGACGTAGAGCTGCACGGCCGTGAGGGCCAGGCCCACGTCCTTGGGCCGTTTGTCCAGCGCTGCTACGATGGGCTTGAGCGCTTTCGTGCCGGATTCACCTTGAGCGTGAGCGGCGGCGTTGTACACCGAGAGGAGGTTGGCGCTCGGTTCTGTGGAGGGGTAGGCGGCTCGAGAGAGGGCCTTGGAGGTGGAGCGGATGATGCCGTCGTATTTGCGGACAAGGAGGTCGGCGGCGTGTGAGTTGCCGATCGTCAGGTGGCTCTGGTAGTCGAACAGCTTGTCGCTCTCTGTCGAGTCTGGAATCTCGTTGAAGGCCTTGTAGAATGCATAAGGGTTGGCCGAGGCGCCGCGGGCTAGGGTGACATTGGTTTGTGCGATCTTCTTCGTCGAAGCTTCGTGAATACTGCGGTCGAGTAAGCTTCGATTTGGGATAGTTTGACCAGGGAAGGTATGCGCACTTCTTGACGGAGATCTCCTCCAAAATGGACTGAGCCTCCTCGGACTTTCCTTGCCGAAGCAGAACGTACAGCTGCTGCACAGCAATCGGGAGTAGTTCGGCGTCTCTGTCCTCCGGGGTGAGATCTTCTGACGTGCGGCACAGTTCTGTGTAACGAGGAGGGGTTAGCAATCGTTATCGCCTCTGTATATCCTTTCTAAGCACGAACCCTTTGCTCGCTTCAGAAGCAGTTCTCCTTGCTCGAATTCGCCCTTTGCTATGCTCAAGCATGCAGCATTGTACACGGTTTCAAATGCCTCCAAATCATCACGGGTTGGTCGGTTATGGCGGACAGACTCGGGATATCCCTTCCACTGCAGCTGTGCATCCGTAGCCCAGGCATTGATGCGCAGATCGTTTTCCTCGTTAGACATTGAGGCTCCATCTTTCGACAGTTCTTCGTATAAATCGGCGGCGCGACTGAATCTCTCGGCGCGATAGCTCTATGATTTCGCAACTTAGAGATTAGCACCTACTGTTGATGTTAAGGTATGAAACACATGCAAGGGTAACATACGGCTTGAGCTTCCAAGTGAAGAGCACCACGGTTGCCAGTCACCTTGGATACTACTTCTATGGCCTCCTCCGGCTGGCCTGACTTGTAGAGCACATAGGCATATTCCAGAGCGGCCCGGGTCTTCAAGCCGTCACCAGCTTCCTCGAACACACGCAGACAGTCAGCGTAGCGGTCGAGTTTTAACAGAGCGATGACCTTGATATGCTGGGCATGCTGATCGGCCCTCGACTTGGCCAGTGCAGCGTTGGAGGACTGAAGAACTTCTTCGTGGTCATCGATGGAGGCTCGTTGTAGCAACGAACTCAATGACTGAGCAGCCATGGCGATGCCGTGTCAAATTGACCAACGTGTCACCCGGGGTGTGATTCGCAGTAGCCCAAGATGGGCGTGGTTTGAGGTGAGGTGATATCAAAAATTTCCTACTCAAGCGGTTCTTATGGATGTATGAATCTGAAGAATAATGAGCTGGATATGCTTGATCTTTCAAGTGGCCAGTCCAAGCTTGTGAACCATCTGTGCGGGAGTGTGATATTTCCATATCGGGGAATTCTGCACTAGAGGCTTAGTTAGGCGGCCGTAGCCCATTTCCCCGGCCTTTCCTCCGACCATCATAATCATGCGAGGACTCAACATTAGGACATTGATGAAAGCTAGTCCAGCTTTGTAGGGTTGTTGACAGCAAAGCTTCCTTACAATTAAAGAGAAGGAGGTGAAAAACATTCAGCCTGTGCCAGGCATACCTTACCACTTCATTAATGCAATTACCCCCCCCCCCCCCCCCCAAACTAGCAATACTATGTGACTGCTGTGGCTCTCAGATAGTCCGCCTAGCTCTCGATGAGGTTCTAGATCAAATGCCCCTTACTTTTCAGGGTCACTGAATGTCAGACAGACCGACATGCTTATCCAGCCTATGGTTCATACGCATCCTTTGAGTTGAGACTGCTTAGCTAGAGCGAGGCCATCTGAATACTGCGTGGCGGCGTGCACAGACAACAAGAGCCAATCAATCGGGTCAGATCGAAGAAATGCATTCTTATTATTATTTTCAACGGCTGTTGTCCGACACCATAAGAACAATAATAATCTCCTGCCCACCAAGCCAAGCGAAAAAAAAAAGACTTGTGGCCATGAAGCACATGACTGACTTGGACGTCAGGCGAGGAGGCCGGAACAAGATATTGTCCGGATTGTCCTCCCTACCCGGGGCGCTGTTTGCGATGATCCTACTTCGACTTGCAACAGGCGCGATTAATACCACCGTTCTCCTCTCTACTCATACAAGGGGCCCTAGGTTAACACATAGTTACCCTACACTCAGGTACTGTAGCAACGTGTTTCTTCTCTAGAGCAGTGTACAGTTTACCGCTTGGCGCTGCTGACGCTGCTAGAGTCCATAATAGATTCCTCATGCGGAACGCTATCTAATCGCTGTTATGCGCCGGCGATTCGTCATCAGCAATCCGTCGCCCCCGCCGTCCGTTTTAGGCCCTTCGCCCAAACGGAATGCGCGTCAAATGCATGGTTGTACCCAGGGGTTGTAGCGGTGCGGCCACATGAATAGGTGGTGGGGTGGGGGGGGGGGGGGGGGGGTTGGGGGTGGAAAGTTAAGTGGGAGAAAGCTGTTTCTTTCCCTCCTTCTCCTGTCCCGGTTCCATCCTAACCATGTGTACTCTGCCACCAAGAAAAAAGGAAAAAAGGACAAAGACAAAAGGGCAAGCTGACCATCCATCATCCCATCCCACGGTGCAAATGTGCACTGTGCAATAGGGAAATGGAGTAGGATGTTTGGGGAAAGCGCAGAAAGACCCCTAATTCAAGAACGTAACCCTGGGGAGACTGTCACTTCAGGGAAATCTCCTAGCACTGGTCTCTAGGCCGATCGGCCCCTGTGGACAGTGGAACATGTTGTGTGGCTGCTCCGTCCAGCAGGTGTGCCCTGATGACTTGATGAATTCTCATTCGATAGACCACTGGACGGCAGATGGATCGGTCTCCATCCACTACTCTCCAGGGCCTTAAGGAAACCAGACTGGCCCATAGTCGATCCCTGGGTTAGCCATTCTCCGCCCGGCCATGATTCGTTTCGTCCCTCAGTCAGATGCGGCCATTTTCTAGCCGTGCGGTGCTTGTTCTTGCTGCAATGGTATTTCGGAGCCCCGTTGATCGGCTATCAACCTTCCCACTCCATATCTTCTTCCACTAACCTGACGGTTAACCGGGCCCAGGATTGACGTTGTCGTCGTCGCTTTCTTTTTGACCTTCGTCATCCCTCTGCCGTCCTCGCCTGTCTCCGACGCTGCCTGTCATATCCTCCATCGTTGCGGATTTCAAGGATCGTTTGCTCTTTTCTCCTTCCTGCCTCGATTGTTATATCCTGTGTTTCCCGCCCTCGCCTTCCTCTTCTTAGCCGCCCGCTCCCGCCCTCCCATTTGGACCAGGCCTCTCCTGCCATATTCTCCACAGTTCTACCTCTTCCTCTCCCACTATCACTGGAGCATCGCGATGGTCTTGCAGTTCCATTGCGGCGTCTAGATTCAATACTATTCCCTTTCTACGATATAAAGTTACCGGACCCAGATGTGGAATAAGACTGAGGAGAAGCCGCGGACCGCCATGGGCGCCTCGTACATGTGGAGGAGAAAATTGCTGCGCTTTGTGGTCGCAGCTTGTCTTGTGACCAGTTTTACGATCTTCCTCTGGCCTGAGATCGAACCTCACCACGAAATTACGACTCAGACGATCTCAAATATCACCGTTTCCTCCGAAGTCGAATGCGAACCCGACTTCGATGCCCTCCAACGCCTCAATGTTCGCAAGCTCTCTCAATATGTCCGCCGTGAAATTGTCGCTTCTCCTTCCTCGAGTGACGTCGTTCCCATCGCACAAAAACTCGAAGTGCCTCTTTTCGAGAAAATCCACAAGGACCATCGGTTTGCGGAAGATAGCATG